AAATCTGGCCAGGCCTCAAATGTTTGCAGGCAAAGACAGAAGGAAAAAGGAACGAAAACCTCCTGGGTAGGAATCAGTGAAAACCCAAGACCTGAGAAATTTCAGCATCATGTCGAGTACAAAGACTTGTTTTTAACCCTTCAAAATCTCAATAATCTAAGATGAGATGTGGACAAATAAATCTCTCCTATTGCATTTTGAACATCACTAAGCATTATAGCGATGTTTTTTGCTCTCAGGACCTATAAAGACAAGATTATGTGGAATTGGACACATTCAAATACAGCTAATAAGTTTTCTAATCTACTGGCCTAGAAAGAGAGCCACTTCTCCAACCCTTTCGTGTTCTGAGCTGGGTGGTCAGACAGCATTCAAGCTCAGGTCATCAGGAGCATTTTATTGACCAGAAAAGGGGAATCCAAGCAAGAGCCCTTCAAATGAGTTGGCATGCAATATCAAGAAAAAAAGAAAAACAATTGAGACTCTGCTCTCCTCAGCACCATCTGCAGTGGGAAGATGTAAAGTCCTACACACCAGAGCTTCTTGTCAGCCTTCCTTTTCCAGGAAGCCCGTCTCTGGCCTGAAAAGCCTCTATGGCACCACGCTCGGGGTTCTAGTAGGGCTGGTGACATAGCCAGCCACTCAGCCATGGCAGAGAGGATCTTGAACACTCCCAGTCAGCTCAGCCTCCCAGGGGACTGAGAGCTGGGACTAAAATTAATTCCTCATGCTGAAGTCACCTTTCACCTCCCCTCGCTTGTCGCCACCACTGCATTATGTCAAGACAGTAATCAGAGACTTTATAAGGAACATTTGTTAGTGCCCAGATGCCAGCTCTGGGCTGATTCTTCTTTTACTTCCCTCTCCTGCTCCTTAGCCTTTCTATTTTCAGGTTCAAAGAAAGAAGTTGCTTTTGAGTTCTATACCCAGAATTAAGTGATATAAGATCCCAATAGCCACAGAACTACTTTCGTTTGGATCCTTCCTGATTTACAAAGAGCCAATGCTACATGCCCTGTGCCCAGCTGGTTTCTAAATATTTCACAGTGGGATTTTTAGTAAAGCCACATAAAATCCTATGAATGTCCATGAGAAGATTCTGGAGTTGACCCATTCATCCTGATACACAGACACCTGTTGAGCAGGAACAATTCCCTGACAGCATGCCCTCAAAATGAGATAACTTATGTAAATATTCTGTAGAAGCTACTCCATATTTCTTTACTGTTTAAACATTAGCAATAGACAAGTAGCACAACCAAACTCCTTTTCATAGTTGCTATACTTATCACTATCAATAAAAGAGGATAGCCTGGAAAAAGAATACATCCCTTTTGTGGAAATTGTGTCAAGCTTGCCTGACCAGATGTCTTTGTTCTCTGATGCCCAGATACAGGGTGTATTTTAATCTTATGGTTTAATATAAATTAAACATTGCCAGATTGCTCTAATGGTGCTTTAAATTTAGTTAAGTGGATCCTTTCAGTAGCACAGGGAAGCAGGAGGGAGAGAAAATAAGGTATCCAAAGGTCAAAAGGTGACCATTCCTAAGAAGTCTTGGAAGACTGGAATATAAAACTAGATTGGGGGCACCTGGGTGGCTCAGTCAGTGAAGAGTCCAACTCTTGATTTTGGCTCAGGTCATGATCTCAGGGTCATGAGATTGAGGAGCCCCACATCAGGCTCTGCGCTGGGCATGGAACCTGTGTAAGATTCTTTCTCTCTCCCTCTCCTTCTGCCCCTCCTTCTAGCCTCCCCCGACCCCTCCACTCTTGCTTACTTATGCTCTCTTTCAAAAATAAATTAATTTAAAAAACTAGATTGTTCCAAATAAACATTTACCCTTTAAAAAAAATAAGAAAAAATAAAAATAAAGCTAGAATGTTGGACTTTCCATTACCACTTTCCAATCTAGGCAACGAAGTATGATGATGACTACTTCAAATACTCAGTATTCTTTCAATTGCCTCATGGAAGCACATTACTGTAGTTGTTAGAAGGACAGCTTGGACTCAATAGAAATGAGCCTTTTAGCACAGCTAAAAAAAAACAAACTTTTCTTTTTAAAAGGATTTTCGACTCCACATCTCACAATAACCACCTTTGTGTGGTTATGGGTACTGACCTATGTAATAGATACTTTAAAAAAAAAGGAGTAAGTTTAAGATTACACAAGAAGAGAGATGCTCATTTCTATCCATGCACTTTTCAAAATATCCCCCAATTTCTGTGGGAACAAGAGTGGAAGTTGTGCTCAGCTGAGAACAGGAGAATATGGTCTTAGTTCTGTCATAGTAAACATGTGACCTTAGGAAAAACACAGCATCTTCCTGCGTCTCTTTTTAAATTTGAAATGGAGAATAAGAATGTCCACCCTACCTAATTTGTGGGCTGTTTAGTGGTCACAGTGAAGTCATCTGTATGAGTGAAGACGTCATAGTAAAACAATGCTACCCAAATATTTGGTCATTCTCATAGCTAACATTGATTATTGACTTAATTAACATTTTACATACATTCATTCAATCTACACATTAGCCCTGGAAAGTCAGTATAAACACAACCCCCTTTTATAGACCAGTAAACAGAGGTTGGGAGGTTAAATAGCTTGTCTCAAGTTACTGAGGGGAAACTGGATCCCACAAAATAGGAAGAATATACACTTAGAGAACTAAGAAAAAAGAGTAAAAGGTGAGAATTTGGGGAGAAAGAATATATTTTTAAAGCATTAGAGTGATCATCAAAAAAGAAAAATCAAGAGTGTTAGAAATTCTTACAGTCATTTTATGGTATACTGTTGTATTTTGAATTGCATATGGGGAGAGGCACCAAATCATTTAGCTCTTAGGGCCTTTCAAGGTTTTAATCCAGCCTGTCTTAGACTCAGAGCTGATGGCACCAAGGTACCAACTCCAGTCAGGTGACTCCAAAGCCCATATTTATAACTGCTCTACTGCATCTTGCTCTGTAATAATAATACTTATTATAACTAAGTAACCATTGCCAATAGTTACTAGTAATAAGCATTTTCAGTGGTAAGCAATGCCATTCAAGAAAAGTTTATTCTGTTTTGAAAACATAGTAAGCAACCCATAATCTGGATCTCAAGATACAAAGAGAAAGGCACACAGCGAGAGTCACTGGTTTTCTTACTGTGGCTTTTAAATGACCATTAAAGAGTCTTCAGCAAACTCGTGGGTTCTATATCATCTCAGGGCAAGGGGTTAACATCAGTTTAGAAATCTTTGAAATTCCTAATAGAAACACAACAAACCCTATAGCAGCATTAGCAGGGCCAGTGATAACATGCATGGAGAGAGAGAGTGAGTTTTCTGATAATCAGATGAACAGCTTTTAAGATCTTAGGCTATTTGGATTCCCGTGCCCACCCACCCCCCAGAGTTTAAGCACGAAACATTTAAAAATCAGGTCTATTAGTGTCTAGCAAATTTGGATGATGATAAGAATTCATAGTAGCTGCTAACACCTCTGGTTCTCTTCAAAGGCTCAAAGATAAATGCATAAAGTCATTTTTGTGCCTTAATCTGAGAAGTACTAAGTGTATGACAATAGACTCCCAGCAAAGGCTGAGCTGGATATTGTATGGAGACTGAGATGGTAGATAAATGGGTAGGCAGGGCTTTTCATATCAATAGCTTGGGAGTCTTGTACGTATGCTTTTTGTAGATGCTCCCATAATCCTTAAACCAGGCACAGGAAGACTCTGGTTTTTCGGGGGGGGGGGCAGTAGCACAATTACTTCTGATTGGCTTTTAAAGAAAATTAATGATGAATTAGGCATGAAAATTACAGCCTTCAAGTCATTCAAAATTCTTGGGCCACAAATAAGCAAATTTACTTTATGTATTTCTCCCAAATGTGATGATTATTAGCTAAACAGCTCTTAAAAACTTCTGAAAATGTGCTTTGGGCTTCCTTATCTCTGTGCTCACTTCACTATTAAGGAAGTGAGAGGACAGCAGTAAGAGAATTATGGGGAGTTTGAAGTGTAGGAGAGAGAGAGAAGGTGAAACATAGCATCATGCCCACATTAGTGAAAAGTTCAATATTCTGAGCTAGTCTCTTGCATCCACCAGGTGATAATGCAACTGTGGAACAAAGGCCCTTAGCCAAAGTATTTTCCCTTCCATTCCTGGAACTTTTTTGATCAGGGTTCAGGGCTCTTTTGCTAAGAGAAGTGAGAGATGAGAGGGAAAGCTAAAGGGTGATTTGAATGACCTCTTTAAAATAAGGCAACCTTTCCTCCCATTGCCCTTGATTTGGCCATCTGGCTCTGGGAGTTTGCTGGCAAATGCTCCTTGACCATCAAATTTAAACAGATGATTAACCCCTCTCCCTCCCACACCAGCATGCTTGTTATTAAAATGCCTCCTAGGACCGATCTCTGAATTTAAAGGCAGGCTTAGTATAAATGAAAGAAAAAAATAGGCAAAGTCAACCAAATGAATGAAACCCCACCCTTCGCTTCTCTCTCATCATTACCTTGACTTGATGTTCATCACTTTAAGTTTAGTAAACTTCCTTTCACAGTCTTTGTGAAATCTCTGACCATCTGTACCTTCAACCTCACCTGCCTAAATGGCACCACAGAGTCCAGATAACAAAGGGATTATTCTGTGATTATTGACGATAGCTCATGATGGAGATGGCACCCCTTCCCTCCACTGGTCATCATTTGCAATGCCCTGGAAAGCCTACAGCCATTGTCTTTAGTATGAGCCAGTCAGGCAGTACTGGTCAGGTTGACAAAAAGTGTTCAGTGCATAGTTAGTAAGTCTCCAGAAGCTCCCTATGCTGACCCAAGCCCTAACATGATAACTCATCTTGTCCTACAAAAAAAAAAAAAAAAAAAAAACATGAATGATGTGCTTAGTATTCAGTGTTTTATGATTTGGTGACAGTCATGAAAAAGTTGCCACTTAGGAGTAAGAATGGGAGAGCCAAAGAGAGTCTGTGGTCACTGAGAGTACAACACGTACCTGTGGGATAATGTTCATTCACTGGCCAGTTGTCCACCTGGAGGGTGGCATTGCCGCCGTTCCTGGTGAAGCGCACCACATGATATTTACCATCATTGACGGGAGTTCTCTCCTCCTTGATAGAGATGTCAACTGTACCAATATTGAAGACAACTCCGATTTTCCCCTGTTCCTATGATAAAGAAACACAAACGGCATAGTTAGCACCAACCACAAGGTGTTCTCCCTTTATAGTGGGTCCTCCAACTAGCAATAAATCTGTAGGTACCCAGAGGGAGCTGGCAGCATGAAGGTCACAACAGTATCCTACATTTCTCCATGGGCTTTCATCCTGAACATAGAAACCAATGGCATAAAGCCACCCAGATTGCTCTCATGGGCTGCCCTGCACAGCTTACATCATTTGCTTGCTCTCCACAGATAGCTAAGCTGGAAACCACAGAAGTACCTAAGAGCCATGTAGTGACACTGCAAAGTGCATTTCTGTGAGAGCAATGAGGCCTATTTTCTAGGAGAGGTAATTAGACCCTGGACCCTAGATCGCCTCACAGTTTAGATTTAGGATTATAGAGGAAATATAAGCATACTTGCACATTTTGGGGGGTGATCAAGGCCAAGGGAAGGGGTACAATGAATGATGAGGAGGCAATGGCAGAGGGGCTAGCATCATGGATCAACACCCAAGGACACGCTGTGCAGGTCTCAAACCCATAGAAAATGTATCCTCAGTAGAGGTCAGTGAAACTGAGCTGGGGTTTTCAGAGTCAGATGGCTGCCACTCTTCCCACACGTGTAGCCCTATTCCTAAGGCTCATCCAAAGAGGGCTGGAACATTCAGTGCTATAGCTTTATGCCACGTAGCACACGAGAACCCAATGGCCCAGAAAGAGACTTCTGGGAGGGAAAATACAATGAATGCCAGAAGAGAAATACCACGGCAATGAAGGTGATGATTATGGTGAAGGTAGAGGCGATGACATCATCTACGTCCTGAAAGTGCCCAGAAGCACTGAAACCTAAATAATGCTATTAAAACTCTTACTCTTCTCCTCCAGTCATTGGTTATGACTAAGAGTTAGAATTAGTATTCACAATGAGACACAAAACAAAAGTAACCTTACTGGTCAGATATAATCAGTTTCTGCCAACCTCCTAGGAAGGTATCACAGCATGCAGGATGTCAGGAGGGATGGGTGAGGAGAGAAGGAGACAACTTTCTCCATTTTTCTAGTTGTCTGACTTCTTGGCTAAGCAATAGGTTGGACATTCAAGGACAATAAAATTTAGTGGTAACTCTGATGTTCTATTTGTCCACATAGTCTCTGTTATCCTCTCTGTTCTTATTCAAGAAGTAGAAGGAGAATAAAAAGAAGGAGGAGGAGGAGGACAGGGAAGAGGAGGAGGAAGAGGGGGAGAAGAATAAGAAAAAGAAAGATATGAAGAAAGAAGCCCAGAAGCCATATAAACTAAGTGTAGGAAAGATTTCATAAAAACTCAGATTTAGTAATTGGGTTCATTCATTTATAAATAAAAATTCATTCAATACATAAATATGATATTTATGAAGCACCAATTGTGCTTAAAGTCAGTAAATTAAGACTTCTGATGAGATTTTAGGCACTGGTTTCCAGATAATTTGGTACACTTCACTTCTTTTTTCAAAAGACAGGCTTTCTTCATCTTGCTAATTTTCCTTTAGTATGCGAACACATCTTATTCCCGATAAAAGAATGGACAAGTACCCAGGAGTCTTGATTTTAGAAAGTAGGTGTCTAAGCTAAGAAAGGCTGCTTTTGGCATGCAGGAATGCTCTGATATGGGGTGGACATCGCTGTCTCCTTTGTGCCCGGAAAGCATAGCATGCAATGTAAAATGATGTCTGCAATTCCCATGTTCTGTTCTCTACGAAAAGGAATGCAGGTGCCTCCCCAAATGGGGACTAAATGTACTTATGATTTCGTAAATCCCAGTTTATTGTGACACTATGTTCTCAGGGTTTTTTTTCTTTCCCCACCCCTACATCTCCAGCCCTAAACAAAGCACTTAGCATTAAAATGGAGAAATGAAACTGATGATCGGTTCTTTTGCATCTTTCATGCCCATAATTAATAATGTGATGATCCATTTTATTCTTTCTCCTTAATTCTCTGGGAATTCAGAAATGGTATTATGATTTTCCTGCTTCCCCCTACTTAAAGCGTTGGCATTCATGTCTAAGGGTGTGTGTGTGTGTGTGTGTGTGTGTGTGTGTGTGTGTGTGAGCACCTACTCATCCTCAGGCCTAGATAAGCAAAGCTATAGTAACCTGCATCATAACCTGTTTAGCAGAATGAGGGAACTGGAAGAGTTAAGAAACCATGACCGCAGACACCATTACTCCTCTGCTCACCCCACAGATGTGGGCTGTTTATTGCACCACTGTTCTTCAATGAGAAACCACTATATAAATCCTGGATGCACAGAAAGGGCTGCTGGCGATTCAATTCGCCTCTGAGTCACTAATTAATCATGGATGGAGAACAGTTTTAGGTAGAGAGAGGGGACCTTTAAACCAGCAGTAGCATCGGGTGGTTCTGGCTCAGTGAGTTGGCTGATCAGTGAGATATATTCTTGGGCAGATTTTCTGCAAGATCCATAATAGATCCAGGAGAAGAAAAGATTTAATCTCTGCCAGAATAAATATTTGGTCCTTATCGGAGGCGCCACACATTTGGTACTGCAATCACTGCTTTGGAGACATCTTTTTAATCCTGCTAGGGCTACGGCCAATGTCAGTGGAGACCCCTACCCAGATGAAGCATTGTGTTTGTGTTTCCCCACAGCGGGACATGTGGCTGTGCTAGACCTCAGATGTGGTCTCTTTACTTGCGGTAATAAGATTTCATTACTGCAACCTCCTTGTCATTTGTCATGGGACCACAGTGGCATTATAATCTGTGGCTAACTGCTTTGTCTCAGTTCATTATAAGTCTTAAGGCAAGTACCCATAGACTTGCCTAGGCTTGAATCCCTGACGCTCAGCTGCCATGAAAATAAACTCGGCTGGCTCAGGTGTCCAGAGAGGAGACGATTTGAGGGATAAAAAGCACTGGCTTTGGAAACAGCCCTGACTGACCTTTGGGAAAGTCACTTAACTTTTCTGAACCCTTTCTTAGTAATACATGATGGGGACAGGATACCAGCTCCCCAGACTTCCTAGGGCCGTTATAAGGCTAAAATGATGCGATTATAATGATTCGTATGATAGCACTTTATAATATAAATAAATAAAATATTATTCAAGTAAAAGGGATAAATGGAGATCAGGAGAAGGAACAATCCAAACATTTGGCCATATGTCACACTCTGTGAGCACTGGAGAAGTTAACTGGTTCAATAGGATAAACACGGTTTTAGCATGGCATGGTTCAAATGATACCTCTCTCTGGCTCTGAAAACCCAATGACCTTGGGCAGGTTATTTAACTTCCGATTTCCCTACAGATAAAAGGATCTGTGGAGGAAGGGAAAAGCGAATTGCTACCTTTGAAGCTTGTTGCGAGGATTTTAGGAGAATACATACGTGTGACATGGCTCTGCTTACTTTGGGACTAAAATAAATGTCAGTCATCTTTTCGCTTTCTTTCCCCTCATTAGTATAGTTGAAAGTGGTGGTGTGAACTAAGGGCTGGCTGGTTTGGCGATAGTGTCATCAAGAAATATTGTAAAAATAAATGTAAATTTTAGCAAACAGAACATTAAAAAAACAACATTTGCACGGTTGAGTTCCTGTCACAATTTGGTAGTTGCTCTCTCTTCACATTCCTCGGTATCTTTTAGAAGCCTTTCCAAGGCAAGCAAGTATAGCTGCAAAAACAGCATGACCATAAATTTTAATAACTCCACACCCATCACCACTAAAGTTGCTACCAAAGGCAATCACTTCAATCCATGTTCTTCCTTGATATTAAAAACACAGACAAGTGGTAAATCAGAAGACATTACCAAAGAGTCCTCAAGTGCAATAAAAAAAAAAAAGTCTGTTAAAAAAAAACAAGACTGAATGGCACAAGAAAACAGCTGTTTGTAAATAGCCAGTAAATCCATTCTTCATCAATAATGACTGTTTACGAGCCCACCTGGTTCCTCAAATTAGTCCAGCTCCAGCTTTCTGATCTTCCATCAGCCCCATGACAGTTATTGCTGTGGAGGTGACCCATGAGATACTACTAACACCAGTGTTAGATTTCAGAAGCAGAGATGCACAAGGGCAAGAAAAATCCTCAGGCATAAAGACCTCCCTGCAGGCAATCTCTTCATTCATTGCACCATGCCCCCGGGGAAGGCAAAATGCACCATCCACTATTTTAGACAATTGCAGCTGACAGAAACAGAACTGGGACTCTCAAAGTTATGCCTGGGAGACGTGCAAAGGAAGCAGTTCTCAATATCTTGACTTCTAGGATTCCCACAGAATCTGGGAGTTCAGTGCTAGGCAATAATACAGGATGAACAACAGGTATGTGATCCTACTTGGGGCCAGACACTGCTAGGTCTGGCATGCCTGTTCCAAAGTCTGGGTCACAACAAATAAAACAATCAGTGGCAGCGTTTACTACATTTTTCTAGTTTCCCCCCATTGTTGGCTCATAGTAAGAGAGGATTTCTTAGGTCCCCTTGTGATGTGTAGGGCCAAGAGACCAGTGCTGACCAATAAATTAGGTGTCACTCCTGAGCCATGCATTAAACTGCTGGTGTGAGACCAACCAGAGTTCTCCCACTGGCTCTCAACCACTGTATCCAGCAAATTCCTGGCAGTGGCTTCTTTGTCCGCCTGGGTCATTGAGTGAGGCTGGCAACAAGCCAACTCGCAATGGACATGGCAAATGAGAAACAAAGCTTGCTTGTTTTATGCCACCAAATATTGAAGCTGCTTGTTACGCAGTGTAATCCAGACTACCTTGAAGAGCAGAGTAGGTGCTTGGCAGGTACGTTTTAATAGAACAATTTTGGAATTGTTAAAATTTACCCTCCAGATTTTATAGACTAAAAAAGATGGAGATTCACAGAAGGGGCAATTCACACAACTAATAGAAGATGCATTTAAGATTAGAATTCAGGTCTGTCTGGCTTTAAAACCCATGGATTTTCCACCATGTTATGTTTCAGTCACATTTATTACATGTTGCAATTG